AAAGCCTGTACAGCAGTATTATTTTACTTAATAGTTGGAGTATGTTAACACAGCATATTGCACTAAGCAAGCAGCTTCAGTCGTAACTCTGAACTGTTGGGCTCCTGTCAATTTACTGTAAGCTCTGATGCTGCAATTTTTTTCCATTCCCTATCTACTTTAAACATTTTGTATTTAAAATTCAAAGTTACATTGCTAGTCAAAAAGCTTACTGGTAAATCTGCTGGGTTCCACCCCCCTCCCCCCGCCCACTCTCATTTTCTTTTATTTTCTATTTTGATTTCAAGGAGTTGCTATTTTAAATATTAGTCAAAGTTGCTTCATTTATTGTCAACATATGCAGATAGTATACTCGGCACTGGCAAGTTGCTGGAAGGTCAAAAAGGATAGATAGTGAATTATTTTTATACAGTAAAATATAGTTATTTACTGAAGTTTCCAGTCAACTCCTGTTTAACTTTGTTTATGTTTTTATGTCTCCAAGTTTTGTCTACAGAGTCTCAGAATGCTTATAATCTAGTTATAAAAAACATCTTTTTCTTATATGGGAGTTCTCAAGAGTGTGTTGATAGGGAACTTTGAACAACCTCCCTGGCCAGCAGATAGTTGAAAACCCGCCACAGGGGTGGGCTCCACCATCACATTAAAAGAAGCTTAATGACATTTATTATGGAACTTGAATGCACTGTGAGGGTGGTGTCTCTTCAGTTCCCTGCATGGCCGTGTCAGTGAGGCCATGATAAGAACTGGCTCCCTCTTTGACATACCTGAAGGAGAGGTGGGAGACGGAATCATACTTGTCTCTTCCTTTACATGAGCGTGATTTGAATCACACTGAAGAAACAGTGCTGTTCTGCTGTGCTTGGAGTGGCAACTCTCATCTAACTGTGAAACATTAGAAATGTGTATGAGAAAGAAAGACTGAAACAAAATTGTTCCTTTTCTTAGCCAGGCTATGAATTTGCTCTTGAACACCATATCGGTAAGCATGCTTGGGGATGGTTCTTGGGTTGAGCCCTCACAGCCTGGAGTTTTTTATCCTGCAAAGCTGGATAAAAGCTTTACAAACTGGCTAGTTGCAATAAACAGGACAATGACAAGATGGACTGTGTGTCAACAAGGTTGCGGGGTGACTGCGTGTGGCTAGCAGGTCACCGTGGCTGAGGACGCTGTTTCCTGGGCAAGGCTAGCCAAAGCGTTTAAATGGCAGTCGTGGTAGAGGTTTGCTTGGGGTTTTTAATCCCTCCCTGAGTGTCAGAACTAACAAACTCTCAGACTACTTGGGAGGAAGAAACGGGCCAGCCTTTTCCTTCTGAATACAGAAGCAATTTGCACCATGTTGTCCAACTTGTTACTGCTCGCTGCAGTGGAAACGGCTAGATAAGACACAGGCTGGAGAGGACAGAGTGTGACTCCTTGTCCATGTCCCCTTTCCTCTTTCCACAGAAAATATGACCCTGTTCTGACAGCTTAGGTCGGACTCATGGGTTTGGAGCCCACAGATGATGATGGCTTTTGGGATTGAAATTCAGTGTGGTGTCTAATCCTAAATGAAAGGACACACAACAAATCCTTAATCTATTAGGAGCTGACTGGGACAGGTGTTCAAATGGCAGCAGCTTGTATTCAGGCAAGACACTGTCTCATCACATTTGTTTTAAAAAAGAGATTAAACTTTTTTAAGAGCATTAAGGAAAACTGCCTTCAATTATTACTTGCAACTGGAAAGCCAGTCCTTTGATATTTGAAAACTGTAGGATTAGACAGTGCCAATGCAATGTGTTTGCAAGCCATTGCCATAGCTTCATCTCTCATTGAATAATCTCCTTGCAGGATTGTTGCTGTACAGTGTTGCACCTGGAGTGAAAGATCTATTAGTCAGAATGCAGGATACAAGTACCACCAAAAGAAATGAGAGCAAGTGGTATTCCTTGGTGTAGGCTTCTGGATCTGAAACTAGATTTTGGTCTTTTCCAGCTCTTATGAGTGGGATGGTAGAGAGGATACTACAGATGTTATTCTGCTTCAGGAAGCTTATTAGTACTCCAGCAGGATCCAGAAATCCCAGAGCAGGATTATGGCTTCGTTGCTTGAGGTCTGTGCAGAGGCCATATGGAAACGTCCCTGCCTCAAAGAGTTTGCTTCCTCAGCCACTGAGGAAACATACGTAACTTGAGGGGGAATGTGAGAGGGTGCATGGATGCTTGTAAATTTGGCTATTTATTTCTGATTAATAAAGATGCATAAGCAAAATTGATTGGAGGTATCTCCAATACTCCTTACCTAATTACTGTGTCTTACAGATAAAGTTAACTACTTGAAAGCTGGAGGGGTGCTAGAGCAATAATATACTACTGACAGTTAATAATGCAGAGTTGGAGGACTATTCTTCACTAGTTGAATACTGACTATTCTTCACTAGTCATACATGTCAAATGAGCGACAAGGCTGATCTCCATGTAGGAAAGCTGTCAGGAATGTGGCATGGAAATGAGAGATATCTATGTGTCTGTAGAGTTCCACAATGGAGAAATGGTCTCAACTGCTCTGATAAGCTGAAATTCGGAGTGGAGAAAAGAGCTTTTTCTGTATGGTGCCATCCAGCATGCCAGAATCAGCTAAGCTTTAAGGGCGCTACCGCATGTGAAACAGTTCCTTAAGGTTGTTATTTATAAAGCCTTTGCATTTAAGAAAAATGTCCATCTCTTTGTTGAATGAAGTTATGTTTCCATATGTGATCTATATGTTAAGTTTTACACAAGTACATTTAATCGATTTTGGAATTTGGAATTCAGAGTATCGAAAAGAAATAGCAGTAAGGTACTGGTTTTGGCAGCCTGGAGCGTATTTTTAAGCTGATTGAAGAAAAAGACTTTCCAAAGATAGACTCGTGGTCAGTCTCCTGTAGGGTCTTGCTTATGACGTCAGGACTTTCCCTGAACGCAAAGCATTCCTCTGCTGAACTGTGTATATATAAGTAGTGAAATCCGATTAAGACCAAAAAGCAGGTTTCTCTGCTACTACTCCAGGCTGGCATCTGCTGCGAGTGATTTTTAGAGTTGCTCTCCTTTTAATGTTGTTCTTTTCCAGGACACAAGGAAAATCCTATAAATCTTCCAGTTATCCTGGGTCACAGAGAGGTTCTTGTTGAGCGTTATGTGACCAACTTCTCTGATTGGCAAAGAGCACACGCAAGATAGGGAGGTTAAAGCACTTGACGTAGTACAAGATAATTTAACCCTTAATTCGCAGACTGTCTGTTCAGTCAGAGATGTCTAGTTCTTTCTCAGTGCATACCTGCTGTAGGGTTAGAGATTGACTTATTTCTTAGCATAGTATGTTGTGGTGTCATCATCCTGCCTTGTTTTTCAAATTATTAATGCAATTATAATTTCTGAAACTTATTTTAAATTCCATGGAGAGGCGAGTCCAAAGGAATGGTAACTGATTGAGGCTCTAAAACCTTGATCAGTGCAACTGTCATTCTTACAAATTAAGCTTCAGCTCTACTTTCTGTGAGGACGTTTGCCATACTATTTTGGTTTTCTAAATTTTCTAAAAATTTGACCCACTGATCAAAGGCAGTTTCACTCAGTGAAAATATTGTTGTTCTTGATAGTTGTTAGGAGACAAGTGCACTCTCTTGCTCTCTTCTTTTTTTCTTTAAAGAAGTAATTAATTACTTCAGTAAAAAAAATCAGGGAGGGAGGTGGTATGGGTGTGGAAGATCCACCAGATCTTCACTGTCAGTCTGTGGTGGGTTGACCCTGGCTGGACGCCATCACTCCCCCTCCTCAGCTGGACAGGGAGAGAAAATATAACGAAAGGCTCGTGGGTTGAGATAAGGACAGGGAGAGATCACTCACCAATTACCATCACGGGCAAAACAGACTCAGCTTGGGGAAATTAGTTTAATTTATTACCAATCAAATCAGGGTAAGGTAATGAGAAATAAAAACTAAATCTTAAAACACCTTCCCCCCACCCCTCCCTTCTTCCTGGGCTTAACTTCACTCCTGATTTCCTCTACCTTCTCCCTGCCAGCAGCGCAGGGGGACGGGGAATGGGGGTTGTGGTCAGTTCATCACACGTTGTCTCTGCTGCTCCTTCCTCCTCAGGGGGAGGACTCCCCACACTCTTCCCCTGCTCCAGAGTGGGGTCCTTCCCATGGGAGACAGTCCTCCATGAACTTCTCCAGCGTGAGTCCTTCCCATGGGCTGCAGTCCTTCAGGAACAGACTGCTCCAGCGTGGGTCCCCCGTGGGGTCACAAGTCCTGCCAGCAAACCTGCTCCAGCCTGGGCTCCTGTCTCCACGGGGCCACAGGTCCTGCCAGGAGCCTGCTCCAGCGCTGGTTTCCCACGGGGTCACAGCCTCCTTTGGGCATCCACCTGCTCTGGCATGGGGTCCTCCACGGGCTGCAGATGGATATCTGCTCCACTGTGGACCTCCATGGGCTGCAGGGGGACAGCCTGCCTCACCATGGTCTTTCCCAGGGGCTGCAGGGGAATCTGCTCCGGTGCCTGGAGCACCTCCTCCCCCTCCTTCTTCACTGACCTTGGTGTCTGCAGAGTTGTTCCTCTCACATATTGTCACTCCTCTCTTTGGCTGCAGTTGCACAGGGTTTTGTTTTTTTTTTTTTTTTCCCATCTTGACTATGTTATCCCACAGGCGCTACCACCATTGCTGATGAGCTCGGCCTTGGCCGGCGGTGGGTCTATCTTGGAGCTGACTGGCATTGGCTCTGTTGGACATGGGGGAAGCTTCTAGCAGCTTCTCGCAGAAGCCACCCCTGTAGCCCACCCACTACCAAAACCTTGCCACACAAACCCAATACACCGTCCCTTCGACACCTTACACATTTACGTTTAGGTGTATAGTGACTGTATTGTACATATTAATGTACTGAAAGGTATACAACATTTGGACAATGCTATCCTGGCCACCCAGGCCATGGAAGCACACCTGTTGTACTAACACCAGACCTTTCTTGTGTCTTCAGTGTGTCAGGAAACAGTCTGGGAGGTCTTCAAGACATTCTGGGATAGACTGCCAGAGCGTGAAGAATATCACAACTGGATGAGCCTGTGTGAGGAAGGAACCATGAGTATCTTTGAAATAGGCACGAACTTCAGTCAGTCCGAGGAGCACCGCAGTCTAATTGTGAAGGTGGGTGTCACACCTGGTTGGTGTTTTCTCATGAGCAAGGGCATAATGTGCCACTGCAGCATACACCTTGGCATATGGCAGGTGGTAACATGTGGAGCACTTAAAATGGACAGGCATGAGTATCCCAGCTCTTGGATCTGTAGTTCTCAGATCAGTTCCAAAACCAAAGTTGTAGCTGATCTGATGGAGGGAAGAGCAACGATGATGAAAACGTTGTCTTCAGTAGGTATGTTCCTGACAAGTAGATGATGTCTAGACCCCTTGTCTGAAAAGGCAGCACGGCACGAGGCAGGCTGTGGCGCATTGCCCTCTGTGGCATGTAGCAGCCCTCCTGCTCTGAACTGTGCATGGAGATGCCTTCAGCTCAAATGGCACTTCGAAGCGGGAAGTTCTGAGCTGTATTTCTGATGCTACCAAGGCGTATGGCAAAATTACCTGTTTGATGTTTTACGTTGCTGTAGGTTTGTGACGCCTGTACACTGCAGCCTGAATGAAATGAGTGTGGCTATAAATATAAAAAACTCTAGTGTCCTATGAAGGCAATTGATAACATTGTCACCATGGGGAGTTGCAGAGGTTAAAATCAGAGTATGAATGTAAAACAATTTAATAAAAAATTGCTGAATATCTTGGTATATTCTCTGTTATTTCAGTTGAAGTAAGCTTGTTTTAGCTTAAAGCAAATAAAAGGAGCATTAAGCTAAGCTAAAGAAGCCTATCTCAAATGAAATATGAAGATGTCTTTTCAGGAGTTTGTGAATTTTAAAATTAAGTCCTTAGTACAAAATTAAGTGCTTAACTTTGTATGCATCTAAGATAGAGTAGACATCTTAATTTCTCTGGATAAAAGGCTGTCTTAAAATGTATGGTGGTTTATGGATCTTCTTTAAGATTACAATGTCTTCTATTTTTGAAAGCTAATGGATGAGTAGTTTTATGAAACTTATGATAAGCCTTAAATGTATGATCCCATAGAATCAGTAATGTTCTGCTAGTATGGATTTTTTTCTTCCTGCTTTTTTATGGACTCCTATGCTAGGAATGTGCGCTAGGGAAGGAGGATGAAATTGTGGATAATGGGGAGAGGTTTTTTTTCTGAGCTTGCATGTTAGTCTTCACAGGTGGATGCTAGCCAAAGTTTGCTTCTATGATGTCTGATGGTACTGTTGTCCTTAGAAGACTTTGCAAAATGATGGAGACAAATAAAATTCATGTGAAATTTTTATGTGCACAGTGAACGTATCGTTACTTTATGTAGGATTTTGGTAGTGAGATGATCTATAGTGGGAGCTTATTAGAAGAAATCAGGATGATTCTTGGAAGCAGGATGGTGCATCTAACTTCCCACTGATGCTTTACCTTTTTGGGTGTGACCCTTTGGCATTACAGTGGAGCCAGATAAAGTGCTCTGTGTTTGATGATTTATTCAGATGGTTTATGTGCAATTTATGTTTCCTTTCTCCTGTAAGTGGATATATTCCCTTCAGTATTATAATATTCTGGGAAAGGACTGTTTACCCTTCTATTTGCTTTCCGCATAGTTGATAAAAGGTGACGGTTGTTGGGCTGATTTGATGGGAGACTAGTCTGTGTTAAGGGGGATTGAATGCTGTCACCACTGTGCTCCACATAAAATGTCAGGAATCTGTCGGATAACTTTTTTTTTTTAAATAAAAGCCTGAATTCAATTTAAATTTGAGCCAAAGACTGAAAGCAAGAGCACTCTATCCCACCCCCCGATCAGCCAGCTTCAGAAGGTCTGATGGTGTATTTTTGAATACATAGGTCAGAGTGTGGATTTAATTGCTAACTCTAGTACTGACTCACTCTTTCTCATGTGTGCTCATGCACAAAATGCTTGTCAGAGTGTGAAACCTCTTTAAAGCAGCTCTGAGAACATTAAGTCCAAACAGACGCAGCGGTTACGTCTCTGCTTTGAAGAACATCCTTCCTCCTGCTAGTTGCTTGCTCTAGTAGAATGTGGTGCTAAGAGCTGGGGTCAGCCTGTGGGACCAAGCACACTTCCTAAAGCACCGTGTCCTACACTCTTGTTCTTTCCACTTTCACCAGCTAAGCTGAGTTGCATGGCTAAGCCTTTCCCATACTCGTGGGATTTTTTTTTTCTCACATTACAGCATGTTCGTTCATTTGTTCGTGGTCAGCTGTTGCCATGTATTTTTTTTTTTCTGTTCCTTAAGTTTGATCTATAAAGTGCTGAGCACTTCTTACCAAAGGGCTGCCATCATTTCACAGGGCACACAGTACTCTGTAGTGTCTGTACATGATACATGTGAATAGTCCACGCTCTCAATTGCTTAAAAGGAAGATTCACTTCTGCCTGGCACTGTAGAAAAGCAGTGTATGTGATTGTCAGTAGTTCTTTGTCTGGCCATTACATGCCTCATTAAATACCACTTGTTTTTAATCTTCCTCTGCTCTCCAGTATCTGTGAATCATCTGTGGTTAATTTCAAGAGCTCAGTTTAGATCCTGCAGCTGATCAAAGTATTTCTGCTTTTTTTTTGGTACACATTGGCTATTACTGCCATAGCATTGATCTGCCACCTCTTTTGTATTGTGCATGTTGGCAGTTTCTGGCAGTCTTATTCTAGAGTGTCTTTCTGTATTGCTTTTTGGTAGATGGCAACATGAAATTCAATTTTTAGAAGTGCTGCATGCCATGAATTCTCTCTCTCTCTCTCTCAGAGAGTTCAGCATATCTGAAAATTAGGCAAAATAAATCTGTGGGGTTTGCTCTCAATAAACAATAATTCAGCAAAATGATTGCTTTCGTGTTATTTTTGTTGTTTGGAGTTTCTGTTTTGAGTAGATAATTAAATGAGACTTCATTAGCCTGCCTTCCTGGTTTTCTTACCCTTTGCTGTAATCCCTGGTAATCACTGTCACTCACCTACAGATGTTGTGATGTCTGCTCCAGCATGGCTTAGTTCACGTAAAGAAAAATTCTATTCCTCTTGCTTTCAACACACTTTCTTACTGGATATCAGCTGGAGCTTAGACCAGCTCTGTTCTCAGCTCTCATACTTTTTTCCTTCAGGAAAAATGTTGTTCAGTCTCTAATAGTCTGTCAAAGACTTGACTAATTTGGTGGAGGTGAAGGTATACATAGCTGGAATTTGCTCTTTTGCCATCAGGTGGCTTCTACTGTTAGGGGAAGTGTGCCTCAGAAGGCAATGCTTTTGCTGCTCTGTAATAAGCAAGCTATGCGCCATATGTTGTCTTGGAGAATTGAGGCCTGCCTCTGTGTCATTGCCTATACATGTGTGTATATATATATGTGCATGTCATGCAGTAATATATAATACGTATACTAAGGTTTCTTCAGATTCTTAAGGCAAATCACCTTCCAGATTTTCAGAAGGAGCAGATGAACAGATTTATGCCAACCATAAAAGATTATTTTAAATATTCTTCCCCCCCCCCCCCCCCCCATATTCCTTCATTTTACTTTCTGTGTGATCATGGTAAATGAAAGTACTTTACATAGCATGAATACTAGCCTAACAAATTTCTTTGGATATTAAGTAGACTTACAAAGTGTGGGATTATGTTATCCCTCCATCTCTTTTCAAATCTTGGCAGAAATAGAAAAGGAGAAGGTAATTCTAATCTAAAGGGAAGTTTTACAGTATATTTCTTCATATAAACCTTCCTTCGTATAAATTAATTCTGCTTGTGTTCCTTACTGCGTAGCTGTATTTCGTGGGGTTATCACTCTGTATTACGTAGAATGTTCTCATTCATCCCATTCATGTGGTCGTTCTACACTTTGGGCCATGCGTATCTGGAATTCTGATATTGCCAAAACTTGCCCCCACTCTGCCTTGTGACTCGCATGTTCACACTTTTGCTAGATAATTCTTGAAAAATCCAAGAGAGGAGAAACATAAGCAAAAGTAACTATTAATTTCCCAGAAGCCTTGTACTTCTTGCTACCAGATTGAAGCACTGCTGCCAAACCAGCACAATCTGTGCTGTTCATAGGAGCATTTACAGCTGGCATATGATATTCTTTGTACAATGCCCGCCCAGCCGCTGGGCACATTTTTTTACTTTATAAATTACTGAAATAATGCATCAATTCTGGAGTAGCTGGTCAAACTGTTTTGATACCTGCTTTCCTGCTTTTTCCGTCTGTTGGAGAAGACTTTTTTCCTTCTGTGTGTTCTGGGAATGCTACAAGGAGGGGTTTTTTAGCTACAAAAAAAATGGCTTCCCTGCCTATTTCTTTCTACAATTTTTCTTTAATTCTGTGCAGCTTGTCATATGAAATGAAACCAGAGGTTTGAATTTTCTTATGCAGCCTATTCTTATAGTAAATAAGAAGATTAAAGTAGAGTCAGTTGCTAGTGCTTCCCTTGTTTCTTCCTTTAACTGCTGGGACCTGCTCACCAGGCGTGGAGTCAGGAGGTGGTTTGGGTGTTGGTGAGCTCCCAGGCTAGACTACCGCTGCCCCGTCCTCACATCCAAGAGCTTCAGCAGAGCAATACAAACTTCTGCTTCTTCTGTGACCTGTTAGGGCTGAGCAAAGCTGTTGGGGATAAAGTTTGCATTTTTCTCTTCTATTTGTAATACTTCTAGAGAATGGATTTATTCCAGTTTGAGAACCAAATACTGCAACAGTCAAAAGAACTTTTTTCCTAGACTGGTTGTCTACTGTGTCTCCTTAGCATGCTGAGAGATCGCTTAAGGTTCCTGTCCAGTTTTTGGAGCTTCATACAATTTCCATAGAGGCATCTGCTGCTGACAGTGATTAGGAAGAAGAAATCAAGCCAGGTGGACTAAAGCTTCAACTCATGTGTCAGGTTTTTTTCCTTGTCTTCTTTTCCTTTTTTTAATCATTTTAGTTTCAACAGCACAAAGCTCTGCTACTGTTTCAGCCACGATGCAACTGGAAAAGGTGTAGCACACCAACCAGATGCTCTTCCAAAGTGTATTTGTTGAAGAGATGTGGAAAGAAAATTGGTGGCTTTGTGCTGC